CCACTCAGTCCTCGCCCCCCCCCCTTACCCCCTCTCTTCCTAAGCATCAAATTTTCCCATTTCCCCTCCCCCCTGGTAGTGAGAACTGAGCTGCTCTTGGTAAATAATGTCGCAGTTTTCTGAAATTTCTCATTTTATATTTATTAAAAAAGTTTTTTCTGGTTGGGTAGACGGATATCAATTCATGGAATGTTCCTTAGCTACGCCCTTCAGGGTTCCACTTGAATCTCTGTATGCCAGGTGCTCTTCATACCTGATCCTTGCAATGCTTCTATTCCAAAGCCTTAATTTCTTGTCATTCCCGTGACTGAAATCCCCCTCTGTGTTACTGAAATGTTTTCTTACGGATACTTCATGTGCGTAAAATATCGCTATGAAATCCAGTACTTTCGATAGCTAAAACGAAAAAAAAAGTGATGGTATTGGGGAGGACTGCATCGATAGCTAAAACGATATAAAATTGTGAAGCAAACAACACCGTCACTGATAATGTTTTAATGCTGCAGTAAACCTCCTACCAAACCAGAAAGTAAACCTCCTTTTACAGAAGCAGCTATGACATTTCGAATTGCGACGCAATCGCAGCTGCCAACAAACATGGAGCAGATGCCAGCAAGCAGCAAGCATCTGCTCCATGCTTGTTGGCAGCTGCGACTGCGTCGCAATCCGAAATGTCACAGCTGCTTCTGTAAAAGCACCATCGGCATAAGCTTTTTCTTGTAGCCCCCTTACGCCAGCCGGTTACGCCTTTTCCGTCTTTCGTCCAATCAGGCGCGTACATTCTTGGGGACCAGCAAGTTTAAACAGGGTCTAAGAAATAGGAAACGAACGTCAGACTTGCTAGCAGGTTGACCGCCGGGCAGCACTGGCCAGAGCAATTGGAGTAGCAGCTAGATGTAGCACTAGAGAAAAGGGTTGTGAGTATTGGTGAGGTACTATGGATAGCTAGAATGAAGGAAAAAGAAAAGGGGGTTGGTACTGGTGAGGACTGAGGGCAGTGGACGAATAACTCGCCCCCGCCACTCAGTTCCAGTGGACCGGCGACTACTGAACCCTGCGCCCAAAACTTGCGCTTGTGTAGAGGAAGAAAATGGGCGTTGCCAACACAGGTACATAGATGGCCTCAACCGGGCTGTAAAATGTGCCTACCGTATACCTTGCACATCACATATTCGTGTCCTGAGAGGCCATAAAACTCCGTCCCTCTCCCTTTTTATGCGTTTTTGCCGTGCAGCGCTAGAGCGCTGCAACGGGCAGCAAAAACGCATATTGCAAC